CTAAAACAGAACAATTCACAAAATTATACCAGAACATAAAAGGTAATATGGACATAGTTGAAAGATATAGTTTCTAGTGACTAATGTGTTACTAATCTAGGCATTTTTATGTGGGAGGAACGTTGTTAAGATTGAGTCATAGCAATTGTATTTTCAGAATGTTTGCAATGTAGGTAAAAAAATGGCAAAGGGGGAATGACTTCTTTACTCCTCTTTTAGTTTGTGTAGTTAAATGGTCCCTCTGCTAAGAATGCTTACCACTTAAGCATTATTTGACATGGGCTTTGTATGTTAGCTACTTTAAGGTTTCCTCATACAGCTCTGCAGGTCACCCCCACTCCTTGCACCTGCCCTTCCCCCCCACCCCCTTCACAACAAGCATAACTGTCCATTTTTCTGCCTCCAAAGAATTTTCGATAGGTTTTTATGTGTGTTTGCATCACTTAGTCATGTTTCACTCTTTGTGACCCCATGGACTGCAGCCCTCCAGGCTCCTCTGTCCATGGGATTCTCCAGTCAAGAATACTGAAGTGGGTTGCCATGCCTTTCTCCAATAGGTCTTTATAACCTTTATCAAATTTATTGTTTTGTCTGTTAACCTCTCTGTCACTTCTACCTCCTTGATGACTTGTAAATGACTTAGCCCTTCTAATAATAGAATTCAGCAAATGTTTGTTGAATAACTGTATTAACTAGGTGCATACTGTGCCATTTATTTATTTAAGGGGATCCACAGATGAGTGAGAGTCATCTTTCTCTTCAAGGAAAATAGGTGGGAGATCTATAAATCCTACTTCCCATTTGTGAGACTTGCTTGCTTTTATGTCAACTGTTCCACTGTATATATGTACATATCTGAATTTTAAAAGTCACTAAAACTCTGTTCTTTTCATGGGAAAAGAAGAGGTTTCTAGTTTTTATTTGAATGTCTGGATAATTTTACAAGCCTCTGTGATGCTGTCATCAAAAACAGAGCTTAATTCTTTCTATTCATAACATATTGTTGTCATCCTTTGTCTATGGAACTCTGTTCTTTGATTTTTTTTGACCAGTTTTTATTCTTTTTTTTTTTCTATTAATGAGAACCTCCATCTCCTGAAGTCTTACTTTATGCTACGTCCAGCCTAATTGGGTGGAATATATAGAGACTGCAGGGTTGGATGAGAATGGAGAATGATGCGGTTGGCTATTCATGGCAAAAGATAGTCTGAGATTAGGGTGAATAAGAACGAATATGGGAGGGATAAGTTTGAGAATAGGGAGGGTAAGAGCTCAGGGTCCAGTGATTCCTCTTAAATGTGCCTGCAAGGAAACAGTCGGATAAGTTGATGCTGTTTATTCTCTGTATAGTTTCTAGCTGTTTGCTTCAAAGTAGAATAGAAGAGAAGCAAAGATCCTGTCTGAACTTGTCCTGACTGAGAAGTGTTTTCTGTAGTTCCCAAACTGGTTACTGATTTACAAAAGTGGCTGGTTGTGTGACTTCCCCATCTTGCATTAGAGTGGCAATGCAAAGAATGCAGAGGCTCATTTTGAAAGGGACTAGGGAGGATGTATAAGAAATTATGGATTAAGCAAGTAATATTTCAGTATAAATGAGATGATGATTTGGAAGGTTTTAGTAAACCTTAGAGGCTAAGTGTGTATTGCAGTATAGCCTCATGCAGGTAGGGATGTGTGTACATCTTTGTAGTCATAGGTTCTTTTCTAGCTTAAGCCATACCCGTATTTTGTGGGTACCAGTTCAGCCTCTACTGTAATAAGATTGAGGGTCAAATAACAATAATTGAATATATTTCAGCCTTGTTTTTTAAATATTAAGAAATGATTGACAGGAGCCATTGTTAAGGTAATCATAAGTTCATAAATTCCTTGGTTTTTTATGTCAGATATATCATCATGTTTATGGTTTAATAGTGTATGCTGCTACTGAAGTAAAAGATATGAATTTTATAAGTTTTTATATTAACAATTCTAGTTGTAGAATATAAGTGTAATATATATAAAACATTACAAAAAGTACAGAAAACATAGAAAATAAATATATGTAAAATATACCATAAAAAAACCCAGGAACCTACCACCTGAATTTAATAGATGTTAATATTTTGCCTCATTTGCTTCAGTCTTCTCTGTTAGCAAAGCAGTGAAACAGCGTATGTGGTGAAGGCACACTTGCTCATGTACTTGTGTCTCTAGGGGTCACCACTGTTCTCAATTCAGTTATATCACTACCAAATATTAAAAACTTATATTTTTGCTACAGGTATATATATCCATAAACATATTTTTAATGTCATGCTGACTTCTTCACATGGTTATCCACATGGAAAACTGCACTAATTTTATAATTTTTATTTTATTCAGCATAATATTAAAAGATAGAAAAAATATATTTTTGACATAACTTTTTGCCCTAATAACATAAATTGAAGTGGCTTTTAAGCATTTTTGAATGTAATTGCAGAATGATAATTTTTTACATTGTGACCTAAGGCATGTTGCATACACATGTATGTGTGTGTAAAGCTGAAAAAAATTTCTCCAAACCATAGTTTCCTCTACTGTGTGTGATATACTCTGTTTTCCAGGTTGTTCATTCTGAAATGCTTGTCCCAGGCTCAATAAATTGCTTTTATAATCTAATAATATGTTGCCATCCATGGTTTGAAAAATATTAGTTTAAGATTAATCTAAAATGTTGGTCTTAATCTAAAATTAATACTGCCTTTAGTTTGCAAATAATAAAAGCTTTTGTAGTTTAATAAATGTGCTTCAGAAAATAAGGCAGTGTGACTCAGCAATAAAGAAACCACCTGCAGTGCAGTAGACACAGGAGATGTGGGTTCAATCCCTGGGTCAGGAAGATCCCCTGGAAGACGAGATGGCAATCCACTCCAGTATTCTTGCCTGGAAAATCCCATGGACAGAGGAGCCTAGTGGTCTACAGTCCATGGAACCACAAAGAATCAGACATGACTGAGCAACTGAGCACTCATATTAAAATAGCATTCTTTTGTAAGAAGTTTGATTGCATTCATTTTGGCTAACTCATTCTGAATATTTGTTTTCTATGAACTAAATCCATGCATGTCTAGCCATTTAATTAATTGATGTTAATTATTAATAGCTAAGTTTTAGAGAAAGCATGTTAGTCCTTGTAGAGTATCTCCTTGCAGTCTGTCCTGCCTGTGGTCTACCATAAATCCAGGAGGGTTGTCATGGCGTCAAGAACAGAAAGAATTCTTGCTTGCCCAAAAACTGACTCCCACCTCTGCCACCAACAGTCTGTGTATAAACCTTTAATAAGTCCTTTCTTCCTTGTGGGCCTCATTTTCCTCACCTATTAAACAGAAGGTTTAAGTAGCTTTTCTTAAAAGTAGGTTCATTCTGTGAAATATGGGAGAACTTTGACCTGGGCCTCAGTTATTAAAATTTTATGAGAATATGTCTGGTGTGAAAGAAAAGTAGGACTTTCTATTGAAATTGCTGGATTTGAGGTTGCATTTGAGCCAGGGGTCAGCAGGTCATATTTGGTTTGATATGATTTTGAGACAGAAATGGTTTTCCATCATAAGACCTTTTCAGAGTAATCTGATGTTTCCAATCTCGGCCTGCTTTTTTGTTTCATTATCTCTCAACGAGGGACAGGGCTGTGTGAATGTGTATGTGAACATTCATAAGTGCTAAGAATGGCAAAGGAATATTTCTGCATTCTGTTTTAATTAAATGTCCTCACAGGCAAAACCAGAGCTGCAGGAAAAGTCTGTAAACTCTGGTAAAAGCCCTGGAGGACAGGTTCCTGAGTTCTACACATGGCAGGCATCTGAGGCTTTGGGAACTTTGCTCTTTAATGTGAGGTACATGTTTGGAATAGAGTAAGGATATATCACCTAAGTCACACGTCCTTAAACAAAACAGTATTTTTCATGGTAAGAGTCCTTCATGTGTATGTTTGCTTTAAGAAACAGTTTAAATTACAGTTTGGGTGGAATGAACCTATAAGACCATCTCTTCCTATTGGTGTCTAAAAAAATAGTCCAGGAAATATTCTGCGTGGCTGTCCAGGTGGAGAGAGTTAGCGGCAGATGCTTAGTTCCAAGGTTTCTACTGTCTTTTGGTTTGTGGATTCTTTTTAGGTAGCTCCACATTTAGAGAAACCTAGAGAACCAGTTCTAACTCCTGTGTGAGAGTGTAGACCCACTGAATGTGACTATATTTTAAGTATACATCTGCTCTTGCCTGAGGGGCTAATAAAGGTGTATTTTTCCCTGATAGGATAAGTGTAAGTCTCTGGGAGAGGATGTGCTGAACCCCAGATGGCTGAGGCATAAGCTGTGTGTGTGTGTGCATGTGTGTGTGTGTGTGCGTGTTCATGTTCAGTTGTTTTGTCATGTCTGTTTGCGATCCCATGGATTGTATGTAGCCCGCCAGGCTTCTCTGTCCAGGGGATTTCCCAGGCAAGAATACTGGAGTGGGTTGCCATTTCCTGCTCCAAGGGATCTTCCTGATCCAGGGATCAAACCCCCCTCTCTTGCATCTCCTACATTGGCACACAGGTTCTTTATCACTGCGCCACCTGGGATCACTGAGGCATAGGCCAGATTTCCTTTAATCCTTCTGATCATGCAAAAACTCAGATTTTTCTCAGCTGCAGTATGTAAAACATTCTTAGCTTTTTTACTGTCATAGCAGTACTTGCCCCACCCCCCCTTTATAGACATGGATTAGAATTTCTGGACCTCATCCTTAGGCCAGGACCTCACTATTATTTTGTTACTTTGTTGTACACCTGTACTTGGCATTGACCAGATGCTATCTGGATTTGTGTGAATGAAGACTGTATACCAACTAATTACTCTTTGTACATTGCCATTTATAAAGTTGATCATCCTGAAATATTACAATGGATTCTTTGAAGTCCTGAACAAAGTCTTTTTCTTTTTATGTTGAAGTGCTACTAATGAGCTTTCCTGTCTGCCCTTCTCCCTCATCCTCTGCAGTGTGCCGAGATTTTGCTGTCCTGGAGGACCACACCTTGGCCCACAGCCTGCAGGAACAAGAGAGTGAGTAATAGCCCCTGCACGCTCCTCCAGTTTTCTTTTTTAGTGGTAGCCTTGAGGCAGATTTCTTAGGGTGAGGCGGGGAGAAGACAGAGTCTTCAGGCTACACACCCATCATCCCAGGGGATCTGTCTAGGCAGGTGACCGCTTGGTGAAGAATGCACTTCTCCGTGTTTTGAAGTGAGACGGCTGCTGGGGATGAGAAGACCATTGGGTGTATCGGAGGAAAAGAGGGACTTGAGCCATTTGCTTTGCTTTAATGCTGTAGGGGGAGACAGTGGTTATCTGGGGATCAGGAGTGTGTAGAAGGCTGGCATAAGAATAGGGGTCTGAATACCTTTACCTGGGCAATGGAGGTATCTAGATTGTAGGATTTTCTGAATATTTATGTATGTAATTATGAAAAGTAAATCTAAGTTATATGTGTTATACAAAAGTACATATATGTGAACTTGCGATTTATGTGTCAGTATAAAAATTCAGTGTTTTAAAATGTAGTTTTTAAAATGAAGTGGCAACTTGTGGAGCAGGAGGAGCGCCGGCCCTGGCTTTACATGGTTTGAGTAGAAGTTTAGGCACTGCCACTGCTGACCAAATCGATATGAGTTAACCTTTCTGATTCTCTTTTTCCTTAATGAAAAGATGAGAATGCCAACCCCTATGCTGCATATTATACAGCATTACTGAGAGTATACGTGGAAATGATGGCTGTGAAGTTCTTTTTAATTGAAAGGCTCTTCTTAAGGTTATTCTTAAAAGTTTATTACGAATAAGCCAAAGCATTGTAATTCCTCTCTCCAATCTTCCTGTCCAGTTGAGCATCATTTGGCATCGAATGTTCAACGGAACCGTTTGGTCCAGCATGATCTGCAGGTGGCTAAGCAGCTTCAGGAGGAAGACCTGAAAGCCCAGGCTCAGCTGCAGAAGCGCTATAAAGACCTGTGAGGACCTGGGGAGTGGGAGGGCGTGGTGCCGGGACTGCTTTTCAGGGAAGAGGACTTTCTGTTTGTCCCTTTGATTCCTTTCACTGTTAGATTATAAATCCTACAGTGACGATCCCATAGGTTTTTTTTGATTTTAAAAACCTGTCTTTGTTGCTGGAATTCCCTTCTAGATTGGGGACGTGCAGTTTCTGGCAGGACTCAGCACTTGTCATTGATGGCTTTGAGCCATCTGGTCCAGCTCTGTGTCTCACTGTTCCTTAACTGTACACTGGGGGGATGATCTCTGTCTCCTCTGCCTCCTGTGGTTTGGGCAGGAATCTAGCAAATTCCTGGATGTCACAGAGCTTTCTGAAGTCTACTGGGTTCCTTTGCTATTTCCTAGTAATGTTTGTTCCTCTTATTTTCCTTGAACCCCTTGCCTTTTGAGGGGAGGGGCATGCCACTTGAATTGTGGGATCTTAGTTCCTTGAGGGATCAAATCCATGCTATAGTAGTAAAAGTGCCAAGTTCTAACCATTAGACTGCCAGGGAAGTCGAGAACCCCTTGCTTTTTATATAGAGGCAGACTCTTCTGGAAAGTTCTGAATTGTACCCTCCCTTCTCTTCGTAAATTCAGTGTCTGACCAAAATTATTTCTCCATCTCCTTCTAAATAGATCATGTCTAAGGTCTCTCCCATCATAATGACTTTTTAAACTTCTTTTTTAATGTTTTGAAAGCTCACAGAATACATCTCTTCTTTGAGAGAGGTTCCTATACTTCAATCCGTAGTGGTAGACTTAACTACAGAATCGTTTTGAGGAGGAAGGAGTGAGGGAAGAAGTGAAGGGATCCTTCTGTTTACTTTATTTGTCTTATTTAAATAAACACGAGAGCCTATTACTTTTGCCACCTTTGAGGAAGGGTTTTTCTGTCCTGTTTTTTGCAGCTTGCACTTTATTCATTATTTTATTCAGTTTCCTTATTTTGTTCATAAACATTCTTATTGACTTTGCTAAATAACCCTTTCACCATGAAAGGCACCAGAGAACACAGATATGAATAAAACATAACCATTGTTTTTAAGGGACTCAGGGGAAAAAACTGAGCACTTGCCAAAGTGACATGCAAGTTCATGAAAGATTCTGTATTTTTAAAACTAGATTAATAAATACTTTTTGGTAAGTTCAAAAAAGTGAGTGAATGAAAAGAGGATATAGAAATAATAAATTAGTAGATTTTTATTTTAAATTTTGTGGTTTGAATGGTTCAGAATCCTATAATATTAGATCTGTAACATGAAGTCAGTAAATCCCAAAACTTTTGTAGCTAATAAGATGACATGAGAGGGCATGGTTCACTGGTTAATAGTGGCAGGACCGGAAATCAGGTCTCCAGGTATTTTGTCCAGTAATTTTCCTACTAGTGACTAAAAAAGTTTGCTGTTTCCACTTCCGGCGTGTGCTCTCTGTCATGTATTCCCTCCTTCACATATAGGGATGTATATGTACATGTAGAATGTGCACATCGGACAGAAAGGGAGGAATCACGTTCTACATGTACATACACATCCCTGTATGTGCACCTATCTACTTTCATCTCCAACTATTTCCAAACATGTTGAAAAGGGCCATTTCCTTATATAAACAAGAATAGTGTTCATCCCCTCACTTTTGTTAGAATAGAATGTGTGAATTTCTATTCCTCCAGAGAAGTTAGGATATTACCGCCAGCCCCAACCCTAACACTTGCAGGTACAAAGGCTGCTTTAAAACGGGGAATATACAACCAAGACTAGATTCGTTGAATACTTTTAAGTTCAACTGGCAGGGCAAGAATAAAAGGGAATGTTGGTTTAGCAAGTGAACTGCATGTATAAGCCACAACTCTAGTTTTGTTCCAGCATCTTTTAGATAGTAAGCTCTAAGCATATGTTTATCTCTTTAGGAAACAACTAAAGGTTGTAAGGGCCATGTAAACGCCGGCTCCCCAGCATTATCACACTCTATAGAGTTATAAGCTGCCTGTTAACTTTTCCTGGGTTCAGGAAGATCCCCTGGAGGAGGTCATGGCAACCCAGTCCAGTATTCTTGCCTGTAGAATCCCATGGACAGAGGAGCCTGGTGGGCTGCATTTCATAGGGTTGCAAAGAGTTGGACACAACTAATGCAACTTGGTCTAGTCTGACTGTTCCTGAAACCAAAAGACCATCTCTGAGAGATCCAAACCCCATTTCTTGGTGAAACTGCTGTTTCATTTGTGCTGTTTGAAAGGACCTGTTTCTCCCCACAAAATGATGTGTCTGGTTTCTCCCACCAAAGTATATTGTGGGGTTCTGAGCACAGGATGGAGATTTATTTAGTTTTGTATCCTCAGTGTTGAACATGGCGCCTGGATGACAGCACATGTTGCGTGAGTCTTTTTTGAATGTACGAATGCCAATACAAAACAGAACTATGGTAGCAGCAATATTACAGCCTTTGGTTGCCTTAGTGGCCTGAGTGTTAAGAAAACTGGCATCAGCCGCAGAGGTTTCTCCTGGCACCTGAAGCTGTGGAATATACATTCCCCGCCATTTTTAAAGTTTTATTGAAACTGAAAAAAAATTATTTAATTAAACATTTATAAAAACTGTTTTGAAGTCATACCACCACCTCTAAGTAACCACAGTATTACTGACATTTTAGTGAATTCACTCTTTCTTTGTTTATGCCTACTTTGTGCATACTTGGATATTTGTGAATCTTATTCTCATAGTGTACATCTCCTTTGCAGAATCTTGAGGGACTGTGGTGATGGTTTAGTCACTAAATCATGTCTGACTCTTGTGAGCCCACGAACTGTAGCCTTCTAGGCTTCTTTGTCCATGGAGTTCTCCAGGCAAGAATACTGAAGTGGGTTGCGATTTCTTTCTCCAGGGGATCTTCCCGACCCAGGAATTAAACCTGCGATATGATCATACAAGAAAGGCCTGGAGCTTTCCATTGTAGTGTCTGGGGATCAGATTCTGATCCTACCACTTATTTTCTCTGTGACCTTAGGGAAGTGATTTTACTACTCTGGGCCTCAAGTTTTTCTAGCTATAGGATGTGATGGTATTGACCTCTTTGCATCATTATTGTAAGGACTGAGTGAGATAAAAATATGCCCTGGCTCATAGTGAGTATTCAGTAAATTGTGTTGTGGTTAGAAAAATCATTCCTTGTGTTCTTCATTTATGTTGTTTTCTGCTTTGTTTTTTAGTGAACAGCAAGACTGTGAAATTGCTCAGGAGATTCAGGAGAAGCTGGCTATTGAGGCAGAGAGACGACGCATTCAGGAGAAGAAGGATGAGGTACAACTTGTTTAATGCCCCTCCACCCCATGGAGGAGGGCTGCTCACCTCTGACTCTGTTCACAGGCACAGTGTAGGGTTGCTGGGCGGGCAGGAGAGCTTTCCCCTTTTGGGGGTGCATAGTCCAAGTGTTGCCCTCCATGGACCACTGTTTATTTTGATAAACCACCAAACCAAACCACCTTTTGGTCATTGTTTAAGTGGTAAAATCTTAAAAGATGATAATGGTTATTTGACAAAAAGTGTGAGTTCGTTTCTGTAGGGCTGCTGTAACAAATCACTATAAACATGGTGGCGTAAAACAGTGGAACTTGGTTCTCTTACAGTTCTGAAGGTTGCACAGCAAAATTAAGGTGTTGGCAGGGCAATGCTGCATACTAGGAGAGATCCCTTGTTTGCCTCCTCTTAGCTTCTAGTGGCTCTTGGCAGTCTGCATTCCTTGCCTTGTGGTTGCATCATATCAGTCTTCACCTTTGTTGTCATATGGCCTTCTTCCCTGTATCTTTTTGTCCTCTTGTTTTCTTTGTAGGATACCAGTCATTGGATTGAGGGCCCAGCCTAATAGAGTATGATGTTCTCTTAAATAATTCTACCTGAAAGATGCTATTTTTAAATAAGGTCATGTTCTGAAGTTCTTGATATAACTGAATTTTTAAGAGATAATTCAGCTCAATACAAGATATCTGTCTATGGGTTATTCCCACAACTTTAGGAAGAGCAAACCTTGAATGTAGCCTGAGCAGGAGTCATGGACTGGTCATTGCTCTCCCTCTTTTTTATTAACAGGTTCACTTTCCTATGATACTCTGCCTGAAAACAGTGATCCATTTAATTCTGTGTATATTTTTAAATTGTATTGTTTTTAAGCTGAAAATGACTAAAACTGGCAGTAGTGTATGGTTTGTAAAAAGACTTGAATTTGTACTTAGTGATCATTGCTTTTGCATTACGTTTTCAGCATTTCTTACAAACAATTGTGTTGACTGTGTGTCTGCTCTTTTTATACCTATTCTGCTATTCTTGGCCATTGTCTTGACTTATAGTAAAGAAAAAAATGATGTATCATTTTTAATAGTACAATGACCATATGATATTTTGTGTACTCAGAAATTTTGTGTACTCTCCTGGGCAAACTGGCACATACAATCACCCTATTGAATAGATATTTCAGGGTTATCAGTGAACCAGCCTGCATCTCTTTTCTTTCTCCTACTGAGCCACCCTGTTCCTCTGGACCTCCTTGTTCAATGCCAGGCGAGTGTGAGACACCTGGTGTGAGTGTATTTAGCTGTTTCTTTAAGAAACAAACCATGATTATGTGATGATCAGAACTGTAAGTTAGAACGAGGGATTCTTTTTCATCCTTCCTGTCATCCACACAGGAGCTCTTTCTTACTGCAGGATGTGTTGCCTCTCTATAGTCAAGACTTCCTTGGAGATGAGTCTGGAAGCTGAAAGAAGTGATTATGTTTTATAGACAGGAAAGCTTCTATTTTAAAAATCACAGAGTAATGAAGTTGGCTTCTTATAAATGCTCCTGGTGTCCTGTAATATTTTTCCTTTCCGTTCAGGGGAAAGCAGTATTAGGGAAAACAAAATACTTTATTTTATGCCTGTGGAATCTAAATAGCAATCACAATAAATAATCTCATTGTTATACTATATAAAGTATGCAGTGTTGTGAATAACTGCATTTCTCAGATGAAGAAATTAAGTCTTGAAGAAGTATATGAATGACTGGTCTCTGGCTATAGTAAGATGCCAAAGAAATGTCTCTGCAGTTCTGACTGCCTCTGACTTGGGTATACTGTGACACAACATAGAACACATAAACTATCGAGTTTGAATCTTACCTGTTTAACTTTTAGCTGAGACTTTAATCATCTCATTTAGCCACGTTGGCTTTTAGGTTCCAAACTGAAGAATTCATGATAACTCTACATTATCCTAAAGGGCTGCTATGAAGTTTAAAATCATGTATTTAAGGTCTCTGCTACATATTAAGTTAATAGTTGTTCTTTCCTTTTTGCTTTCTCACCAGGTGTTTCCCCCACCATTCTCCCTTTGTAACAACTCAGATTTCTCTAATAGAGAGATGTCTGCTGAATTAAAAGGTGGGGGTGAAATAAGCAGAGTTACATATATTCTGATATGGTATGATTTCAGGAATCTTTAGTGATTTTCTTGCCTTTACAGCTCTCCTATTATCTCCACTACTATTTGACCTACTAAAATGTTTCCCCTTGTCCAGTACAATGGAGAGATGAGACAAGAAATCTAGTTGTGGAGGTTTAATGAGACTAGGCTTTAAAAACTCAACACTTGTGTTTTCCCAGACGTTTTTGACTTTTCACTGATGCCTTAGTTTAGAATACGGCTGTCCTGTCAAGAGGTTCTTTACTTGTAGGAAAATGTGACTTCCAGCTGACTAGACTGTTTTAATATTAAATAAAATTTGCATTAGTCAAGTTTGATGTAGAAGGATGTATGATAATGCTTATTTGTTTATTTTAGTCCAAGGCGCCTCATAGAGGAGATTGAAACAATAGTGCTAATTTTTCTGGCCAACTTTGCACTGCCTGTTACTCATCAACTGTCCGGATTCTTTTTTTTTTTTTTTAAATAAATTTTCCCTCTCTCTGTGCTCTTCTGCTTCCTTATAGAGTCTGCTTAGCTAATAAGTTCTTACCCAGCAGCAGGGTTGTAGAAAATTCCCCTCTGGATTTTCACCCAGATCTCTTTTTACAGATTTTTGGAGTCAACTCTCTTTTGTAGCTTATAATCACTCAGAACAACCTGATGTAGAATTCAAGGTTCTTTCCTCTTGGGACAGATATTTTTACTGAACAACATTGTACATGAGAAGTAGACTTCTACAACTTTCTGTGGGTGAATTAGCATGTCTAACTTCATTGTGATATAATTTTATTGTGTTTTTTAACAGAGCACAAATGTAAGGCAGGTAGCGTTTCCATTGGTGAGACAGATGTTGAAGAGTTTAAAAAGATCTATATTCTTACCCCCCTTGTGGCTCCTTCCCTTTCTTCCCTTTTTTTCCTCTTTCCTCTCCTCTTTCCTTCCTTCCTGTCTTCCTTGCTTTTATTTTTTAAACTCTTACATGGTGTCTTGAATATAGTAGTAGTAGTAGCATTTCTTTCTTGGCACCCTGTTGAAGGAGCATGTAGCCTTTGGTTATACTGGACTGAGTTTATGGTAGTACTTGCCTCATAATGGCATGAGTTTGTGGTTAATACGGGTGGACAAATTTTATTGGGCTCTTTCTCTTTAGTCACAGTTTTAGCATTTGTCAGTATTGTTTAATCAAGCCAAGAAATGTGTTTTTAGTTGATTTAATTTAGTTATTCTTAAATAAATAAAAAAATAACTAAAAATTCTTAAATAACTAAAAAGTTCCAGAAAAACATCTACTTTTGCTTTATTGACTACACCAAAGCCTTTGACTCTGTGGATCACAGCAAATCTGGAAAATTCATCAAGAGATGGGAATACCAGACCATCTGACCTGCCTCCTGAGAAATCTGTATGCAGGTCAAGAAACAACAGTTAGAACTGGACATGGAACAACAGACTGGCTCTGAATCAGGAAAGGAGTACATCAAGGCTGTATATTGTCACCCTGCTCATTTAACTCAGATGCAGAGTACATCATGCAAAATGCTGGGCTGCATGAAGCACAAGCTGGAATCAAGATTGCCAGGAGAAATATCATTAACGTCAGCTACTCAGATGACACCATCCTAAAGTGAAGAAAGAAAGTGAAGAAGAAATAAGAGCCTCTTGATGGAAAATGAAAGAGGAGAGTGAAAAAGCTGGCTTAAAACTCAACATTCAGAAAACTAAGATCATGGTATCTAGTTCCATTACTTCATGGCAAATAAATGAGGAAACAATAGAAACAGAGAGACTTTATTTTGGGGGGCTCCAAAATCACTGCAGATGGTGACTGCAGCCATGAAATTAAAAGATGCATGCTCCTTGGAAGAAAAGCTATGACTAACCTAAACAGCATATTAAGACAGCATATTAAAAAGCAGAGACATGACTTTGCCAACAAATGTCTGTCTAGTCAAAGCTGTAGTTTGTCCAGTAGTCATGTATGGATGTGAGAGTTGAACTATAAAGAAAGCTGAGTGCGGAAGAATTGATGTTTTTGAACCTTGGTGTTGGAGAAGACTCTTGAGAGTCCCTTGGACTGCAAGGAGATCCAACCAGTCCATCCTAAAGGAAATCAGTCCTGAATGTTCATTGGAAGGACTGATGCTGAAGCTGAAATTTCAACACTTTGGCCACCTGATGCGAAAAACCCACTCATTTGAAAAGACCCTGATGCTGGGAGTGATTGAAGGCGGGAGGAGAAGTTGATGACAGAAGATGAGATGATTGGATGGCATCACTGACTCAATGGACATGAGTTTGAGTAAACTCTGGGAGTTGCTGATGGACAGGGAGGCCTGGTGTCCTGCAGTCCATGGTGTTGCAAAGAGTTGGATGTGACTGAGTAACTGAACTGAACTGATTCTTAAATAAAACTCATAACTACTTTGTGTATATGTGAATATTGATTTACATATGTGCCTTTGAACCTAGGTCCAAATATGTGTGAATGTGAAACTATTTTAGGGAAAGCTTTTTTTTTTTTTTCCCCTTAAATAAATAGTATCATGGCCAACCATGAAATGAAAATCTGTGGCACTAATCCAACAATTTGGAGCCATTTATAATGTGAACTATTCAGGGATAAACTTAGTAACCAGTTTACATTAAAAATTAATCTAGTGTGAGCCATGGTACTTTTTCATAGTGTTCTTAATGTGATTAGAAATCCATGGTCTAAAAATATATTTATGTAAATTGGTAATATCTAGAAAATAGCTGAGGTAGTAATAATTTAAGCTACTTAATTTTTTCCCTATGTTGTGGCACTTTAAAAATAAGTTTACAAATATATAACCAGACTGGGGGAGTGAGTGGGAGGCCTCTGGTTGAGAAAATTCTTCTCTCCTTGTATCCTAGTTATATTGGTGTTTTTATAGCCATGAATTTGGTACTAGCCTGTTTTTCTGGTCTTACAGAGTAACCCTTTTGGGGTTATACCTGCTTTGCATTTCCTACTGAGTTAGATGTTAATATAGTAATTGCTAGGTAATAAAAAAGTTTAGCAATCTAATGGAATGGCTTTCCTTTTTTTATTCTTCTGATAGTCATTTGACAATCACATTTTCACATCTCACTTAGGTTGTCTTTATACGTAAGATTTTCTCATTTTGAATCTCACTACTATTATGATAGAGGTGAAAACTTTAAGGGAGAAGTAACCCTGATATAAAATCATATAAACCATAAAAGTACCCAAAAGGATCCAACAGTTCAGTAATTTGTCTTTACTTGAGAAAGTTGCATGGGGCTCCTCTGCACATTGGAGTGTGAATGTCTCTCTCAGAGCACTCATCTTTGCATATCTTACATTATGTTAATCATTTTGCTTTTAGTACTTAATGGACAAGAACATTAATGATAATGACTGCGTATCTTAATTCTCTGTAGGAGGTCTCTAGCAGAATATTTGAGCCATTGAAAGGAATCAGTTTTCTTGATCTGTGAATATGTTTTCTTGACATATCATTCCTGTAGCATTCCAGGAATCCTTAACTCTGCCCTTACTTATGCTCCCATAAGTAAGAAGCTCCCATAAGCTTCCCATTTTCCAGAGTTGAGTGTTATTTCAATAAATGTTTTTACTTCGCAAGTCTTCTGTGGGAGGAGAGGAGGGATGCTTAAGAAGGAGAAGATATGTGTATAATGATGGCTGATTAGTTGTATGGCAGAAGCCAGCACAGCATTGTAAAGTAATTTTCCTCCAACTAAAAAATAAAAAAAGAGAAAGTCTTCTGCACAACAGTTATTTCTGCATATTAACCCAAAGTAAGTCTACCTGATTAATATCGTTAATTAAAAAATAATTGAATGTGACTTCAGAAGAATTTCAGCGTTCTTATAAATTTGTTTTTTCCACAAGTTATGTTTTGTCAAACACTAATTTAGTAAGGTTTATATATATGTATATATTTTATGTAACAAAAAGACCTCTGTCACAAAATAAATTTGGAAATTCCTGGGTCGCTAGAAGATAACATTACTTTTCTTTCATCAGAATGTTAACATGAGCTAATGTGTTTAAAGAGTTAGATATAATACATGTTTTCTGGGTTTTTTTTTTTTTTTTTTTGAACCTTTGATACCGGTGTTCTCAGAAACAGCTTGGGAAATGCTGTTGTAGACTAATCTTTAACAGGAAGGAAGCAGAGGATCAAGGAGGTTGTTTGTGTCAGGGGTGACTAAGCTGCATCCAAGCGTGGTGACTAATAATTACTGTCTTTAGCTTGTTTCAGGGGAGGGTTTTTTTTTTTTTTATTGAAATCACCTAACTAAACCCACTGTGCAGTAATGTTGGAAAGCAGGGAAGAAAGTTGACTTGGCTGAGCTGTGGTTTATAGTATAGCAGCACATTTCCATTGAAATCCTTTTTCCTTTCCCACCTCAAGTACAGCTAGCTATTCTTATTCTTCTCAGCCATAAGAAGCTTATTCACAAAGGAGCTGAGATGTTAAAAGAACAAAGGTTTGGATGCTAAGATGCATGACACATTGTGATTATTATTTTCCTACTTGGTTAAAAGCACTCCTTTTGACCAGCTAATACATTGTACAAAACGGGTATCACTTTTGTTTCTCTTTGGTTCATTTTTGGCTCTTCATGTTGAGAAAGTGCCCTATTACTGTGTATTCATTAGGAATAAATTTGATAGCAGGAAAGCAATTATAAAGTCCCTGGAGGGCAGTTTAATAATTTCGGCTGGCAGTTGGACCTGGCAGTTTTCCTTTATATTTTTATTCAGTTATATAAAGGGAGACTTTTTGTTTTCAGTAAAACAAACCACTTACGAAAATGTAGTGTTGGATGTTCAGTCAACATGACAACTCAGGGAAGTGTTTACATTTTCTTCCTACTTTCGTAGTAAGATGTATATGGATTTAGGAAATTCTGAAGTAGATATTAGAATGAGGAGAATAAATTATCTTGTCACGCCTCTCTCTTCCTAACTGATTACTATATTGCTTTGTAAGGCATCAATGTAATGAACCTGGCACAGAGGAGGGCACCCAGTAACATTTCCAGAATTATTAAAATGTGTAGTGGGGTGTCAAGATATTTGACTTTTAAGGTTCACTAGTTCAGACTCTTCATTTTACAGATGAAGAATTCAGGCCCAAAGAAATTCATTTTAATAGTTAATGTTTTTCTTCCAGTGTCTCTGAAGCATCTCTGACTTGAACTGGAACTTATCAAATATATGTACATATGTAAACATGTACATATATCAAATATATATATGCATATTTACACAGTTTCATGAGAGATTTCCAGCATAGAAGTCAGTTACAGAATATATGTTAATAATATAAATTTGAATTTAGGCCTATTTCGTGAGCATTAAAAGCCACGTACATGGATGTGTGTGTGCATATGTGTGTGCTCAGGCACTCAGTCGACTTGTGTCCGACTCTTTACAGTCTCATAGTTTGTAGCCCGCCAGGCTCCTCTCTCCATGGAATTCTGCAGGCAAGAATACTTGAGTGGGTTGCCATTTCTTTCTCTCTGGGATCTTCCTGACCCGAGGATCGAAGCCAAGTCTCTCGCATCTCTTGCATTGGCAGGTGGAGTTTTGACTGCTGAGCCACCTGGGAAGCCCTCCAAGTATACTGATGACCTCTGCTAATTCATCTAGCCTCTGCATCCAACTTATTTCTACACTAATATAAGAGAAATTAAGTCATTCAGATGACTTTTATTTGCCTTGCAGTCTTAGTATATCTTCCTCTGACTTATTCAGAAAAATGCAGAAAGAATGGTGATTAATTTTTGCCTCAGAAGTAAGCCCCTCAAACTGCCTGTGATTTTTATTACAATTTGTATCAGTGAGTATTGTTGCCTTATTTGTAAGATCTTTAAGAATCTGGTAACATCCAGGGTTCTTCTGTTTTAAAAAGTGTACATAAAGTTTATGTGCTATTTTTGTTGGGCCTTTTATAGAAATAATCTTCAAATTCCGAACTCTATCTCTTGCCAGCTCAAAATCTTTAGCAACTTTTCATCCCTTACATTATAGACTCTAGACTTTTTAAAATTGACTGTAAAGGGTGCCTAGCATCCAGCCTCTGTTTTTCTAACCTCATCTTTCTCTAACACCCCACACACAGTGTTCTTTTTTTTTTAACACACAGTGTTCTAATTGGACTATTGGTTGTTTTCTAGAATGATGCCCATTAAAAAAGTTATAACTTTGCTGGTGGTGTTCTCAGCAAAGAATATCTTCCCTTGCTTATTGGAATCCAGTTCTTTGTTTAAAACCTAACATTAATGCAAAGCCTTGAACTAATTCATATAAGCAGAAGTAGTATTCCCTTTTTGGTGCTCTCATAGACATTTCCCCCCCCTTTTTTTGAGGCATTTACAATTTGGCTGTGTTATGGTTATTTGTGTATTGCTTTGTTTTCAAGTGGTGTGGTGATTTTTTTAGGGGATGAATTTGCCACTCAGCAGCTGCTGAAAACTCATCTGGAGATGGAGCACAGGGGAGACGGGAGGAGGACTGTTTTCTGTTTTGTTTTTTTTTTTTTAGTTAAGACAGCTGTCCTCTAACGCAAAGCTAAATACAATCAGCTGAAAGATTCTTTAAAAAACTTTTTTTTTAATGAAATGAAATCAGTGTATATATACATTAGTATATATAAAATAAATAGCTCATGGGAAGTTGCTGTATAAAACAGGGCGCTCAGCGTGGCGCTCTGTGACAACCTAGGGGGCTGGGGAGGAGGTTCAAGAGTGAGGGGACATATGTATGCTTGTGGCGGATTCATGTTGTTGCATGGCAAAAGCTAACACAATATTGTAAAGCAATTATCCTCCAATTTAAAATAAATTTTAAAAAAAGGTTATAGATTATGGCAGTCTTCCTCATTCAGACTTAGTGAATCATCATCTTGGAAATAGGGCCCATAAATATGTATTTGAAAACTTCTGTTCCATAACCAGTTTTAGGAATATTATATTTGAATATCTTCAGGCTGAGTTAGATTTAAATTTAGTTAAAAAACCTTTCTCCCTCATCTTGTGCTCTTCCTGTTGAGCAGTCATCTTTGACATTTGGACAGGGTGAGCGTAATACCAGAAGGTCTGGAAGAGCATAGGCAGAGCCACAAAAGCCTGGGAGTGGAATGTCAGACCACTGACCTGCAGGGTTACTGTATGGCGTTTGTTCTTTCTCTGAACTATTTATTTTTCTTCTCTCTGTATTTGCAGGACATTGCTCGACTCTTGCAAGAAAAGGAGTTACAGGAAGAGAAAAAGCGAAAGAAACACTTTCCAGAGTCTTCTGGAGTCAGTGCTTATGGTGATAGTTACTATTATGAAGATGGAGGTAATAATTCCTGTCTTTAGACTCAGTTGCAAGGCACCTTTTAAATTTGTCTGTAAAGTGACTCTAGGGCCCATTTAGATTTGTGGTAGAATTTAATCTTATCTAGTGAATCCATCTGTTCTTTAGATGGATGGCCAGAGTCATTTTTATGGCTGTAAAATGTGAATACAGTTTAGCAAAATCTGACATGTGTTCTTTTGCACTGTTGCTACTTAGAATGTTATATTACATTCTAAGCACATAAACTAGGGTAAGGAAAAATGGCAGATGAGTCTCTGCCTCAAAGAAATCTGGGCAGTACTGTTTGAAGCCTCAAAGTAGCACAAATAATGGAGGAGATACAGCATTTATAGATGACTGGATACCAAAGCTTTTCTCCCATGCTTCTTATCTTTTAAACCTAGGCCAATGGATTACCCTGCTGGTGACAAAATTGAATATTATGATTTTCTGTTGAGTTTTTGCTTTTCATGCTTTCTTTGCTATTTCTACCATATAGAAAGCTTTCTGAGAGAGAGAGATCCCTTCTCTAGTGCCCGCTTCTGCGGTGTGGTGGTGGTGGTAACGCTTGTGGTAACCGTGATTCTTTATCTTAAAAGTGTGTTGGGAAATGAGTATTTGCAAGTTTTGTTTAGTTCTTTTTAAAGACATGTTAAAGGAAGGATATTTCCTGTAGTTTTTAGTGTCAGTATGTAACTGTAGTTCAGCTTGGAGACCATGTGCTGTGCTATACATAGTTGCTCAGTCGCATCTGACTCCTTGTGACCCCAAGAACTGTAGCCTGCTAGGTGCCTGGGGATTGCCTGGGGATTCTCCAGGCAAGAATACTATAGTGGGTTGCCATGCCTTCCTCCAGGGGATCTTCCCAATCCAGGGATCAAACCCAGGTCTCCCGCATGGCAGGCAGATTCTTTACCCTCTGAACCAACTTGGCTTCCATGGTAGCTCAGTTGGAGACCATACTTAGGATACCAAATACCAACCAAATAAAATCTAAAGGTAGCTTCTAGAGAGTAAAGATTTTAAGATGAGTAATCCCCAAGGCCCCTGAAAATTAATTATCGATTGCTTTTCTATAGTATCATAAAAGCTAAGTAGGTATTTTGGTGAGTAGAATGAAAAGTATGTGTATGTAGATAATAGGATTATTATAGTTGAGTCTTCCAGTGACACTGTTCTAAATCTTTCAAAATGAGTAGAGCTCAACTCTGTAACACAGTTAGTAAGTAGATTGATTCTGTGCTTGTGGCTTGGTGTGTTCTTCTACTTGTGAAATGCTCCTCTTTCTTGATAGCCATTTTCCTTATCCTGGTTTTTCTAATCAAATCATGTGACACATCATTCAAGAAGAAAAATTGCCAGTATTTTTCTGTACTAGAGATCCGAAGGCAGTTACTCGTCAGCTTTAATTAAAATCTTAGAGATATGATCTGATTTTTTTTGTTTTTTTTTGTAATTCTGCCAGAAGGCACGTTCATTGCAGATAAAAAATAACCATTCTAAACTTTTGAATTGAAAAACATTAGGGTGGTAAATAAGTACACTAAAGTACTGATTTTAGTGTTCCTCTTTTAAAACCTTACACTTAACTCAAATTGGGACTCAAACCTGGTGGTTTTGACCAGAGTTTTATCATTGTGATTTATCTCTGTAGACTATGTTAAGAATTCAGTAGATTTTCAGGGACACCTAAATTTTTTTAAAATTTATATTTAATGCTTTTGTAAACTTACAGAGAATGCTGTGTGTGCTTTTCTTGGACTTGGGGCAGGGGAGGATTGGGAATAGGATCTAGGGATCTCCTGATTGTGTACCTGTAAAGTACTGTTGGAATTTCTCTTCAGTTGTGTTGTTGTTGGGAGATGATACATTGCTGAACATGTGATCTTCGTTTTTATATGCCTTTGAGTTAGATCAAGGTGAGTTCTACAGAGGCCACATTATAGTCCAGCTGACATTTACAAAGCAGCTGTATGTTCTTTGCGGTGGTCCTTTCCCAACACATAAGGGATATTCTTGAATTGTACTTCTTTGCCTTTGCGTGCAATATAATTTTTGTCTGTCTTACATAATAATCAGAGCGAATCATTATGGAAGTGGTCACTTTAGCTTTAATTTTACTTAAACTTTAATAAATTAATCTTTTACAAGTAATCATTTATAGATTTTCTACAAATCTGGAATTATCCAAGACCCCTGTCAGATTTATATCAACTGAAATTGTATATTTTATTTATGAATCCATGTTTCTCTTTCAAAGCCCCTCACCTGTACTGCCGGCATATTAAAGATTTTTTTTTTTAAGTCATGGTCTTTGGAGTCATTAGACCTTGATTCAAGTTACATCCCTTCCTTAGAAAAATTGTAATATTAAGGAAGTTATCCACTATAGTCACTGTAATCCTTTTTCTCATCTATAAAATGAAGATTCTAAAAATATATCCTTCACATGGAAGTTGAAAAAATTAAACAATAGAATTTTTGTGAAGACTTATTAAACTCTAAAGTGCTATTATTTGTACAAATATTAATGTAAAGTGGACTTCCCTGGTGGCTCAGATGGTAAAGCGTCTGCCTCCAATGTGGGAGACCCAGGTTTGATCCTTGGGTTGGGAAGATCCTCTGGAGAAGGAAATGGCAACCCACTCCAGTATTCTTGCCGGGAAAATCCCATGGACAGAGGAGCATGGTAGGCTACAGTCCATGGGTCACAAAGAGTTGGACACGACGGAGTGACTTCACTTTTTACTTTAATGTAATGTGTGTATTAAATAATATTTGGTCTGTCCAAACAAAAATCATTTTATTTTGAAAGACAAACATGGAAGAACATAAAATGTTTGCAAATATATGTGTGTGTGTATATGTATATATGTATACATATACATATATATATGTATACACATACATATATATATGTATACACACATGTATGTATATGTATATACATATATGTATGTATGTATGTATTGCCTATAAGGAAGTTAATTATATTTGCCAAATAACTTGGTCTCAAGAAATATAGAAGTCTCAATCCTTAACTGGACAGGGTTTTAAAGGATTCAAACATTCCTCCATCCCTGTTTTCGTTTTTGCCCCAGGTTTAAAGATATCACAAGTGATCACAATAAATATTTTTCCCTATCAACTCTGTGAAAATGTAGTGACATCCCTTTTCTAATTCTTGCAACACACTTTCCTAAAGTACAACTGTTAATATCTGTTAACATATTAAAAGAAGTAAAAATAAAAATAAAACAATCATGACTTCACAAGTCCAGGTTAAAAACAAAACCTTTCTTTTCTCTTTTTGGGTTTATAGGCAGGCCTCACTCCTGCAGTTTTCTGTGGGAACATTGGTATTAGCACTAAACCATTGTTTCCTCCTTGTGATCCTCGCAGTAGTAAATAGATTCTCAGTTGTCAAGATACACTTAAAATAATAGTTTGCGTAAAACATACTTTTTTATTACAGAGAGTAATTCTTTTTCACTTTTGCTTTATGTAAAAAATAAATTCTATCATAAATTATGAAGATAAATACCTCTACAGACTTTTTAGAAGACAGGTTTTAATTTAGACATCGTCTTTGAAGCAAATGTTCTTTTCTTCTGGAAAACTCAAGAAGAAACCATTTAGAGTTTTGAGTTCAAGCTTTTCTGGCATCACTGATGCATTTAACACATATCCATATCTCCCCTTCCTGTATTCCTTCACTAGATTAACAATAACAAACATTAACAAAAGCAAAGAGCTCAAAACCAAACAAACAAAAAAACCCTGATAACTAATGAAAGGTATGGTTATTTATTTTTTCTACATTCCATCCAGTTACAAGAGCTGCTTCAAATGCAGTTCAGCAAATGACTAATTCCAAGGGGGAATCTTGGCTGTCTTAGCAATTTTCCATGGAGTTAGGATTTCTTTTTGTTATTTCCCCATTATAGTAAAAGTCTTTGGAAATGTTAAATGTGCTCTTGAAATATTCGTTGTTAATTCACTTCCTTTGTTTTCATAGTTTGCTTGTTCCTAAAAGAGACCTGACAACAAAGCACCACGTCTGTGCTGTCTCTCTAGTCTGTGTTAAACTGAGGGACTTGCATATTTAGCACATGTTGTATTTCTATATACAGAATACAGTATCTTAAAGTTTTTTGAAATGTGTTTAGGAATCGGCTTCTTTTTCTGTACTCTGTTATGGCATCTATTTTTAATTATTTTCCTCTACACAGCTTCAAGTAAGATTTGAAAGAGAGTCATCCAAAGATAACAGGGTCACTTACTCACATAAAATTCTCTTTTGCTCCCTCTTCTTCCACACTGAACTATAATTTTTCTGGGAATGTTTGCTTTGGCCACCTAAGGGAAGAGGATGGAGGGATACAAATCTGTGGATCATCTTTCTGAACCAAGTAGAAACGCAATATTCTGATATAAATTTATTGTTATTTCCAATAAGAATATTTCAAAGTCTCTGACTGGAATCACAAAGCTTAGTTCTTTTTCTATTTTTATAAGATTCCTTCATCTCTCACTTACCACCGTCCCCCACCATATACTAGTTCCAAATTGATTTTATAAATAGAATTGAACACTTAATGACTGGAATTTTTGTTATTGGCAAATATTAAAGTACTATGTTAATCCTTCCCTAATCATGATCAAGCTCTTCTTTCAGATTTAACTTATTTCATTTAATTTCATTTCAGTTTTATTGCCTTTTTGGCTCTGTACCTAGAATCCTTCATGTATGCACGGACCATTCCAGCAAATACTCATCCATTCGTTTCAGTTTGTTAAACTGAAAAAATGGTCTTCTTCATTTTAAAATATATTAAGCTTGAGGCCTGTCTCCATCCTGTAGTGAGTTCGTACTCAGTCATTAAGTTAACCTGCGTTTCTGTTTTTCACGTTCCTCCACCTCCACTCAGACCAGCCTCGGTCAAGGAGGGCAAGGGAGTTGGGTTCTGGAAGCTCAAGGCCTTGTAGACTCCAACATGAGGAAAAGACTGTGAAGCACCGGAGGCAGAGGTCCAGACATCCACAGGAGAACTTGACAGAACCGGAAGAGCACTGTTCGTCAGAGAAACCTCTGTCATCCTCTAGCTCGGGTCAAGTGAGGGACGATCCCCAAGTTAACACTGAGCCTGAAAGAAAACGCTGTGGCCACGAGAGGCTCCGGAGACCTCCCCTCCCCAAGATCAGCGGTGAGGTGCTTCTGAGCACCGAATCGGATGACTGGGAGGCTCGCTCTAGCCATCGAACTCGGAACTGGGAAAAACAGTTCAGACAGCAAGACCAGCTCTCTCCCAAAACCTCACGGAAAGCGGGTCTTCCTTGCAAGGAAGCCGTTTATAGGAGGGACCATGGGCAAGGTGAGCACAGAGAGAGGAAACGCAGGCCCCGGACTCCTCCCTTCTCAGAGAGTGAGGAGCAGCTCCAGCTCCACGACACAGGTAATGAAGGCCAGCCTGGTCGGAAGTCCTGCTATCGTGTATATACGTGCAGACAAATGTATCTGTTAAGCACCGTAGACAACATGTCCTTTCTCTCTGGTTTATGCTTATGGCTTTGAGATAAATCCTGGAGCCAGATATTACAAAAGGTATTTACTTAATCTCAAATCTCAAGAAGGAGAATATCTGTACCTTTTCCCTTCTGCCTTCTAAGAGAATTCACACTCCTTGCAAGGTTCTTCCAGCCCCAAGATTGTAGTGGAGGTACTCGTCCCAGGTACGATTTTTAATCTGCCAAGACCTTACATCAGAGATTCTGATACTAAAGCAGTGCTATTGAGTTTCTGATTTTGATTCCATGAACCCAGAAGGTCTAATAACACCAACTTCATAATATTTGCCTCCAAAGAAGACCTACAGGGCTGGAAGTACTGGATTTTCTTCACCTCATCTTTCTCAGTTGTGAAGTGAGAGATGAGACAGGCAGTCTCTTAAGATAGTGTTATTCAAATAGTGATCCTTTAGTTTGTTTTCGTCAGAATCAGCTGGGCTGTTTCCTAAAAATGCAGATTTCTGGATCTTACATGTGTTATCAATCCCTGGAGTGCAGCCTGGCAGCCCGGGCTTGTTTTACCAGGAGGTGATTCTCATGCACTTCACGTTTGAAAATGGTTGTTTTGAGTTCCTTCCTGTGCTTTAACCAGCTTCAGCTCTCCGGTCGGTGCTCTGAAGCACCAGTGTCAGGTAAGTTCTTGGTACTTACTTAGGAATGAGGTGAATGGTCGACCTAAGGCTCCAATTTCTGGCATCCCTGAGGCCTAACTCTGAAGCCCGTCGCTGACACAATAATGGTTCTCCATGCTTTTCTGGAAACTGCTGCTGTGAGCTTTTTCCATGTGGCTGTACCACTCCGAGTCGTAGCGCTGGCTGTCTGGTGTTTCAGTTAGACTAGACTCCTCTCCCTAGTTTTGTTTTGCTCCTATGGAATGTCTACAGAGACTCAGGGGTTATTGGGGGGGAAATACCAAGGAGCCGACTCTTCTTACTTCCTTCCATTTTCTGTTGCCCAGCCACCCCCTGCTTCTGGTCTGGAGAGTGATTTCTGGGTTGCAGGTTCATGTTGGTTCTTTTGGTTCCCCTTATCATTTTATCTCTTCCTGTCATGTTAGTCCTTTAAGTTTTTAAAGGCCTTGGTGATAAAATGAAAATCCAGTTCAGCAATTATCTATATTCCGCAAATCTTCTTGCCTCAGGCTTTATGTTTAGGGGTAGATGCTTGGATCTGAATCTCAAACAGTTCATGAGTCAAGCCACAAAGATGGATATGTAAACAAGCCATTGCAAATTTGATATACTTTGAACAAAGAGCTCTGGGGCAATAGAGGAGGAAGTGGTAAAATCTACCTGGAGTGCGTTTTGTAAGTTACCTTATATCAGATTTAGAAAGACGTGTTGGAGTCCAAAAATTATCAGGGAGGAAGGGTGATTTCATCGACCTCTGTGTTTCTTATTTTGTGAATCCAGCCCTCTAAGTGTGCTCAGAGGGCCGGTTAACCTCTATGGCTTTTTTAGTATGCTCAAGGGTATTTTAAACAGACTCAGAAAGGGTGGAAATTGTATGAAAGAAACTCACAGTGACTCACAGACCCTACTACTGGAGTTGTAGGCAAATGTTTTGTCCCTTTTATTTTAATAACATAAGAGTTTTAAAAACAGTGTGACTAGGCAGTTACTAAAATGGCAACAACGTAGCCACTAGCATCTGTCATCTTATTTTCAGCTTACTTTGCAGATTTCTTACTTTACAATGCCAAAGACTTTGTTGGCATTTGATTTTATGAGCCACCCACCACCCTAGAATAGACCAGAAGATTACATTAAAATATAATTATGTACTGGTGTCTATTCTTGCTGTTGAAAAAGTTCTTAAAGTTGTTAGCATAGGCCAAAGTTTTGTTTAACCTAATAATGAAGAAACCAGCAGGACAGCAGAGAGCTAGATCTGAGAGCACTGGTTTGTGGGATGATCTGTTGAAAAAGAAACAGAGAATAAAATTGCTAAATTATATATATGATTGGCTAATTTTCTAAAGAGCAGTAAATCCATACTGCCTTTGAGGGTAGCATCGCTGTTGTGCTATTAGATTGAAACAGCTTATTAATTTTCTGCAGTTTAACTTCCAACCTCTCAGAGCCATTAAACACCATTCTATGATATTTCCCAAGACTGGCTTCTTCCAAAATACGCGTGAATGGTATCACAATCCATGTGTCGTCATATTAGCTTATTCCATAGTTTGAGATAAGTTTATCTTGAATACCAGTACTTTTAGCAGTTTTATTTTATCAAAATTTCTTTAAAGGTAAGCTTTGTTTGTTTATTGAGGGAGGTTCTTGTTTTCTCAAACTGGAGAATGATGAACAGAAAAAGATAAGCAAGAATTTGTATTAAAAAGTGAATGTGGAACTGTTGAAAATATGGCTCACCTGGTTTTTTGAAAGCTAGTTTCCAGATTAAGTTACCAAAATGAAGACTGCGATTTTCTTAATTTCTTTGAATTAGCTATATTTAATAACATTTCAAAGCATCTCTATTTTCTGTAATGACAGGCATACAGTGTACTATCTGAAATTCCTTCTTAGGTACTTAGAAAAGCTCTTTTCACCTTTGGTATGAAGCATGCTGCAGTTAGTCAGCAGTCTTGTCAGTCCAGAAATCTAGTATTCCAGGCTATAGAATTTTTCTACTTAATGAGATCTACAAGTTCCAGACAAAGAGTTCAAATAAACTCTTCTCTCTCCCTTTAAATATTTAGCCTAGGGAGAAATTACCTCAAAGTTTAACAATATTTATTTTTATTGGGGTATAGTTGACATATAGCATTAAGTTTCAAGTGTATAATTGTATATATTGCGAGATGATCACCAGAATAAGTCTAGTTAACTTCATCACCATACTTAATAACAATTTTTTTCTTGTGATAAGAACTTTTAAGATTTATTCTCTTAGCAATTTTTAGATGTACAGTATAATACAGTCTCCATTCTGTAACATTATATCCCCATGACTTGTTTATTTTATAACCAGAAGTTTGTATTTTATGACTTTCTTTACCCATTTTACGCATCCTCCAATCCCTCCTCTGACAATCACAAATCTGTTCTCTGTATCTTTGGGCTCAAGATTTTTTGTTTTGTTGTTTTGTTTTAGATTCCATGTATAAGTGAAATTATATATTATTTACCTTTCTCTTTATAGTCCAACTCTCACATCCATACAGGACTCCTGGAAAAACCAAAGCTTTGACTAGACAGACCTTTGTTGGCAAAGTGATGTCTCTGCTTTTTAATATGCTGTCTAGGTTGGTCATAACTTTTCTTCCACGGACCAAGCGTCTTTTAATTTCAGGACTGTGATCACCAACTGCCCTGATTTTGGAGCCCCATGAAAATAAAGTCTGTCACTGTTTCCATTGTTTCCCCATCTATTTGCCATGAAGTGATGGGACCAGAGGCCATGATCTTAGTTTTCTGAATGTTGAGCTTTAAGCCAGCTTTTTCACTCTCCTCTTTCACTTTCATCAAGAGGCTCTTTAGTTCTTCTTCACTTTCTGCCCTAAGTGTGGGAGAGGTATCTGTGTCTGAGGTTATTGATATTTCTCCCAGCAATCTTGATTCCANCCTCCACCAGGGTCCTCTTCTCGACCAAAGCAAACACTTTTTCCAATCGGATTCTCTCTCTCAGGGTCTGGAATTAGGATTCAGACATAGCCAGTCACATCACATGAGGAAAGTAAACCTGCCAAATTTAGGAACAGCCTTCTCGTGCTCACAGAGTAAAGCCGAGAAAGCTGGTCAGTGGACATAAAGGAATGAGACATAGATGAACAGTGACATCACAAGGAGGTGAGCAGGTCAGAGCAGCCTCCAGAGTTCCTGCTAACGGTCCACTTCTCAAATCAGGTTATATTAAGCATGACCCCATGCCAACATTCAACTTCCTTAAGACATCATGGGGTGAGGAGAGACAGATAAATTAAGAGCGTGGGATTAATAGATACACACTACTATATATAAAATAGATAAACAACAAGGACATGCTGCACTATATATAATATAGTGGTGGTTTAGTTGCTAAGTTGTGTCTGACTGGTGGGATCCCGCGGACTGTAGCCCGCCAGGCTCCTCTGTCCATGGGATTCTCCAGGCAAGAATACTGGAGGGGGATATACGGGATTCCCCAGTGGCTTAGATGGTAAAGAGTCTACCTGCAGTGCAGAAGACCCAGGTTAGATCCCTGGGTCAGAAAGATCCCCTGGAGAAGGAAATGGCAACCCATTCCAGTATTCCTGCCTGGAAAATTCCATGGACGGAGGAGTCTGGCGGACTACAATCTATGGGTTCACAAAGAGTTGGACATGACTGAATGACTTAATTTTCCTTCTCCTCATACATAGGTATAAATATATGAGACTAAGAATATATATGTATAAGAATATATGAAGCCACTGGTGGCTCAGATGGTAAAGAATCTGCCTACAGTGCAGGAGACTCAAGTTCAACCCCTGCATCAGGAAGATTCTCTGGAGAAGGGACTGGCAACCCACTCCAGCGTTCTTGCCTGGAGAATCCCAGGGATGGGGGAGCCTGGTGGGCTGCCGTCTGTGGGGTCGCACAGAGTCAGACATGGCTGGAGCGACTTAGCAGCAGCAGCGGCTCAGATGGTAAAGAATCTGCCTGCAATGATTCTTAATGATTCTTTACTGTAGGAGACTCAGATTTACTTGCTGGGTCAGGGAAGACCCCCCTGGAGAAGGGAATGGCAACCTACTATCAGTATTCTTGACTGGAGAATCTCCTGGACAGAGGAGCCTGTTGGGCTACAGTCCATGGGGTCACAAAGAGCTGGACTAACACACATAACAAAGTAAAAAGTCAAAGTTCCCTACTCGTCCCCATGTTCCCCTCTCCTCAGAGCTAGTAAAACTCTTAAGGTCATTGTGCTCTCTGACATTTCACTTATGTTATATCCTCCTTAAAATTTAACAACATTCAACTGATCAGAGCACTGAGAGAGATCTAAAGCAAGTGAATTTGGAGACTTATCAGAGCACAACCCAGGGCACGGCCACTGGTTGGTTAGTAGGGACTGTCACAGAACTCTCAGGTCATGCTCTTTCTGTTCCCTCTGAAGTGAAAAATGGAAAGCCTCTCATCTTCTCCAGCCTTGACAGCTTAGTCTCTTCAGAATTCCAGCTAACTTTCTTTTCTCTAAATTCTTTTTCTTTCAGGGACTTAATCTTTTTTCACTTCCTGTTTTACAAAAGCTTCACTTAGAATTCTTTGTATGGTTTACTTCTGTTGGAGAAACTATGTGAGACGCAGTTTTTACCAGGCAGGTCTGGGTGGCTAACTGTGTTTAAATGTGTGGATTTACCTGTATCACTTCTCCCATGCCTAGAGGAAACAGTTGTTTCCAACACACCCTACACTGAATTTTAGAGTGGATGCAGTACTGTCACAGTTAGATACTGAAGACAAACTTCTTTTTCTTAAATGTTTCAACTTCTCATGAAATTACTCAATAGCCTTATTGCACTGACTTTTTTTCTAGGAATGAAGCCCAGAGTGATGAAAGAAGCAGTTTCTACTCCATCACGAGTGACCCACAGAGATCAGGAATGGTATGATGCTGAAATTGCCAGAAAACTTCAAGAAGAAGAAATTTTGGTGAGCAGAATTTAACACAAGATTTTAGGTGAATCAGTTTTTTGTGAATTGAATCAACCTTGGCATTTATATAATAGGTGTTTTAGTCCTTTCTGTTGAGAAACTGATACCTTTTTTATGGGTGGAAAAAGCAAGACAACAGGAATAACATGTCCAGTTTTATTCACTGAGTAAGCATTCAGTTCAGTTCAGTCCAGTCACTCAGTCGTGTCCAGCTCTTTCTGACCCCGTGGACTGCAGCACACCAGGCCTCCCTGTCTATCACCAATTCCTGGAGCTTACTCACACTCATGTCAGTTGAGTCGGTGATGCCATCCAACCATCTCATCCTCCGTCGTCCCCTTCTCCTCCCACCTTCAGTCTTTCCCAGCAGCAGGGTCTTTTCCAATGAGTCAGCTCTTCCCATCAGGCGGCCCAAGTTTTGGAGCTTCAGTTTCAGCATCAGTCCTTTGAATATCAAATCCCTGATTTAAAAAATCATTTATCTTTTGAAAGATTTTGCTGGTGTTCTTCACTCCTTTATGTAGATTCATATATTCCTCTGACATATTTTCCCTTCTACCTGAAGGAATCACTTTAACCTTTCTTGCCATGAAGATCTGTTGATGCTAAATCGTTTCAGCTTTTATATGTCTGAAATAGTCTAGATTTCACCTTCGTTTGTAAAAGCTATGTTCTGGGCATAGAGGTCTAAATTAGCAGTGTTTTCCTATTGTCATTTAAGAATGTTTCTGTGCTCTCTTTATGTTTGTGTTTTCCAACAAGGTGTCTGTTGCTGTTCGTGTCTTTATTCTTGTTTACACCAAACTTGCATTTTTTTTTCTTTTGGTTGCTTCCAAGATTTTTCACTGTATCATTGTTTTTGAGAAAGTTGATACATGGTATAGTTTTCTTCATGTTTCTTGTACTTGGGATTCTTTAAAATTCTCAGTTTTATAGACTTATGGCACTTATGCTTGGTTACTCGGTCATGTCTGATTCTTAGCAACCACTGAACTGTAGCCTGCCAGGCTCCTCCGTCCATGGAATTCTCCGCAAGGATACTGGAGCAGGCTGCCATTTCCTTCTCCAGGGGATCTTCCCAACCCAGGGATTGAACCCTCATCTCCTGCATTGGCAGGCAGATTCTTTAC